AAGTTGAGGTAAAGATATTTCTAGTTCTTTGCTACCTTGGGTTTAATGTTACGACTGCGTAAATTTATGTTTTGATTATCTCAAAGCTATAATTTTGGAAGCTTGTCCCATCTATTCACTCAAATTGCATTCTAATGAAATTTCTTCTGTCTTTTGATTTAACGGAGAAGAGTGGAGGCTGTTGCAAACAGTATCCTGAGATTTTAAAGTTTCGCTTAAGCTTAGTGGATTTTTATCGCGAATTTTAGGTAACATCAGTGGAGCAAGATGCTGTAGATCACGCTGTGTCAGTACGTCTGAAAGGCATGACGGCGCTAGAGTTCTTCACCGAACATATAGCGACCTTTAAATCAATTTTTGCTCAACACCTAAATGTGGAACCACAAAATGTTCAACTGCTCAGCGTGCAAGAGACACCTAGAGGTAACCGCGCCAAGTCCAATGTTCTAGATTATAACAACCTAATTTGTTCAGAACGCATCCCACGTGCAGCGACGATTCCCAGCTCTGCAACAACCGATTTGGATATTTTATTTACCGTATCCAGAGGAGGTGGTCGAGGAATGTTAAAACCGGATCATGTGTATACGAGATTGAAGCACGATTTCCAAAACATTGCTGATCGCAGCGGGAAAATGGTTAGTAGTTTTTATGGTTTTGCTGTGCCCTAAGGTTTAAGCTTGTTCTCCAGAAGTACCAATTAACTACGGAAATGTGCACTCCTGGTGTGTGCCAACGTGGAGAATGCCGTGAGCGTGTCTATCTTGATGACCAACAACAAACGGTTATCTCTATTGGAGGCATAGCTTTCGTTGCACCACATCATAATCGAATCGCTGAGTGTATCTGCCCAGAGGGGTAAGTTCTTACCCAATCCAGTAAACATTCTTGAGTGAGCTTCCTTGAAAGGGGCGTCATCCCCAAGATGATAAAGAGCTCTTTCGATTTTGCCCCTTCCTTTCCCGCTAGCTGTGGAACAATTTGACGAAATGAATGTGCAAATTATGCGTAGAAATATATCTTTCTCTATCTCCCTTCCCGTCGCATCTTCTGGAAAATGAACTTCAAGAGTAAATACTTTTTAAAAAGGTCCCGGATGTTTGTGCCATATGTATCCCCATGAAAAACAATAAATTCTCCTTTTTTCCTAATTTCCTGTAATATTCTTTTAAAGATATGGTGGACAACGCTGTGAACTGGAAATCAATGCATGTGCTCGATCCCCATGCCAAGCTTGGGAAATGTGTGTACCATCGCATGAGGGTAGGCATGATTGTATCTGTCCTCCTGGAACAACCGGAGATCGTTGTTCGCAACCATCATGCGAGAATGAGGGTCGCTGCTTGGAAGGTGAGAATTCTGCAAGATTTTTAAGCATAGGGCATGAATTTCCGAGTCATACTTTTTTTTGACGGAAAATCCGTGTTTTGCTACTCAAATTTGGTGATTTAGAAGCTGAACTATCTGTTGGTGGTGATGGCTACTTTGAGATGTCCATC